GTGAAATGTTTAAACGCACACATGCACTTCGTGGCACTTCCGCAGACTCACCATCGATGACGGCTGTATCCTTATGTACATCTACATCTACATCTACACCTACATCTACATCTACATCTACATCTACATCTACATCTACATATACAAAAACACATATACATATACATACACACACAGAGAGAACACACACACACACACACACGCACGCACTGACTGACTGTGCTGCGGGTGTGTGTTGGGAGCGTGCGCGCGTGCGAGCCTGTCTGCGCGCGAGCATGCGAGCGTGCGAGCACACACTGGCGTGTCCTCCTGAAAGCTCTCCATGACCTGAGCAACGGCAGCAATGGAAGGAAAGGTGGGTCAAACGTGCACTCGTCCCATTGCCCCACCTTCGGCACCCAGCAAACAGCTGAGCGCTGCCCATGGCTAGCTCTAAAGGCTGGGGCTGCAGGGGCTCGTAGTTAGCACATGTGCTGGGTCTTTGGATCTTGACGCTCTTTGGGCATGGAAATGCATTCGAAAGCCACTTCAAAACGGCAGGCACGGCAGCACAGCGGAAGATGGGTGCTGGTCGGTCGCCCCTTGGCTTTGCTCCTTTTATCCTTCGGATGGTGGGATGTGAAGTCCGGTTGCTGCCACCTCCACGGAGCAGAGGAAGCGAAAGACCTCGCACGAGCTCCCTTGCCCCCGCCCCCTCTCTTCTCTCTCTCTTTCTTCTCTCTCTCTTTCTTCTCTCTCTGACTCTGAGCTCCTCTGGCAAACTAAAGTCAGCTTTTCTTTTTCTCTTTCCTCTGCAGGGCGTAGGCGTCGGTGTCTCGACCCTCAGGCTTTCTCTCTCTGTCTCTTTCTCTACCGGGACAGGAGAAGCAGGGCGAGCCCCACTCCCCCGCGCGCGGACGCGCACCCGCAGGTCCAAGCGGGGGTTTTGGAAATCCCCCCAGGTGTTTCTTCCCCGGGAGGCTCGGCTGTGCAAAAAGGCTGCTGCCAGGGATCCTTTCGCGGTCGTCGAATGTGTAGTCACAGACTCCAAGAACACAAGTGAACATGTACTACACTACACTCACAACAGCGACTGCACTCTGAGGCCGCGGCGACACACAAAGAAAAACCGGCGTACTAGAGTGCAACTGCTTGCTCCCCCGGCTCAGTTTACAGACGGTAAGGGTACTTGCAGCTTCGGTACTGTTTGCCCCCCTCTTTGGTTGAAGGAGGCTGTTGGAGATTTCCCCCCCTTTGGTGCAACTGCCATTAATGAGCATGAACCGACTCGATTGGCTGGCCTAGTTAGGTAGGGAGTGTTGCTTGCAGTGCCGAGGGGTTGATATGAAGCAACAAAGCACAGAACCACTTCAGGTACACAACAGCTTGTTGAAACGACTGTCCCGTATGGAAATGGCCGTTGCATGCCCTACTGTTCTTTGGTCCCCCGGGAGAAAACTTGCAGAGGGGTACAACATACCTAGTGAGCAGAGGGGTTTTCCCCCGGGGTTGCATCGAACAGACCTCAAGACTGCTGCGCGACTCGGGTCGTTTTGACCTGGTTCCCTACTGTTCTTTGTTCCCCCAGGAAGAAACACGAAGGGCTGAGGTACATATTGGGGGAGAGGGTTTCCTCCTGAGGTTCCATCGTCACATCTTGGTGTAGCTACAGGGCTCTAGGCTGGTTTGTCACGAAAGGCCCCCCCCGCACAAACAGACAGAAGAACTCTAGGTACAGGTGGCTCGAGGTAAGCAGTGGTTCGAGGTAAGCTAGACCCGCCCCTAGTTACGCCCTGCAGCGTGGAGCCGATGGCGTCGGTGACTGTTGCCGCTCCCCTCCGTGGACTCACTTTCGGCGCCCCTCTCACTCTCAGCGACGCTCTGGTACAGGCTTTCTCTTTCTTTCGCCAGGGCTGTGGGCACAGGAGTTGCCCCCTGTGCCCGCGCGCTGTCGCGCCCCAGGCTTTCTCTCTCTCTCTCTCTCTCTTTCTCTTTCTCTCTCACTCGCTCGGAGCTCTTCCTGCACGGCACTACTGTTGGCCGATGTAGTCACAGAAAATACGTTCCATCCCCCACTACATTGCGAAATGCCAACATCATCTTTGCAAAAACTTACAAGGCTGTGCATTCCACTAGGCTCTACAGCAGTCGTTTGCGATCTCGTACATGTTTCCCACACTTGGTAGTTTATGGTGCACGATACTATGCTGACGATGCCTCTATGCTGTACTACTGCACACTACCTGAACTGGCAGTCCTGTGTGGCATAAAGCACAGCATAGTCAGAAAGAAATGGCTCTTCGGCTCTGAGAGCTGGGACATGGCCACGAGCTAAGACTGCAAGAGACTAGAAAGGCAACAAAGAAAAAGAAAAGGCGACTTTTGAGACCGCAGGGATCTGCAGCCTGCAGCTGCGTTGACCCCCAAACAAGCGGCCTTCGAGGCACCCAAACCGAAGTTTGTCTGCGTGAGATTGGGGCCGCTTGTTTAGCGCAGCTGGAAGGGGGTTCCTCTTCGCATTTGGGGTTTCGACTGCTAGTGCCCCCTAGTGCCAAAGCCGGGCCCGTGGGAAAACCCGCACAAGAAACCGGCCTCTGCGATGACAGCGTCATGTCCAAGATAGTGGCCCGGGGCAGCCTGGAAAGAAGGGATCTGCTGCACCATCCTGGGCTGGGCCCCTGCTGAGCCCCGGGCATCCGGATGCCACATGCCCTTAAGGCGGCGCAGCGCCTGAGCTGTGCTAGGTAGGTTTGGGCAGCTTCTCCCCTGCCTCTGAGATGCACACGTTGCTCTGCACGGAGGTGGGCAAATGTGCCACCTGTGCACTGGCTCGCAGCTTCTCGGCATCTCTTTCCAAGCAAAGACAAACCACCGGCCTGGCTCATCAAGAAAACCCTCAAACGGGCGATCTCCTGTTGCGCCGTCCTCTCTGAGCTCGGCCGCATCTGGAAAACACCAACATGATCCTCCACGATCTCGACCTGCCGAATCTGCTCCGAGCTGGTGCAGTTAGGCTTCGAGGCTGATTGCCTCCGGCTGATCCGTCTGGCGCACGCGGAGACGGATGCGTCCGCCTTGAACCTGGTCCCGTGCGCGGGGGCATCGCTTTCAAGCACAACGTCAAGAACCACAGGTAATTCACCGAGGAGCCAGGAAGTCTTCGTGCGAGGCCAGCCACCTTCTGGGGACCGAGAAGGTCTCCATGACAAGGGTCAGAGGAGCACTTCCCTTGCTCTTCAGGAACCTCGGATGCAAAATAGTCGTGCGCCGGTGTTGCGACCGGGGGCGCTTGCAAGTCAGGGTGCTCCTTGATATTTCGTTCATGTCTTTGGTGACCCTGACACGAACCCGCGTGCTCAGCTCCATGACATCCTGCATACACTCGCCAATCCCAGCCGCCTTCCTCGACTTGACGACGTCGTCAGAGGTGACTTCAAAATATTTCTGCCTGGGGACATGCCGAAGGTGGCCAGGCCAGCTTCAGCGTCAAGGAAGCGCTCCCTACGAAAAGGAGACCCTTAAAAAAACCCAAACCGGGATAGGGATTTTGGGTCAGAGACGCAGGAAGTCGCGGTCCAGCCCGGCCAGAGCGCTCTTCAAGGCGCGGATCTTGGCTGAGCCTCCGATGCGGGCCAGATACTGCTCCACCGCCTCCACCTGCAAATAGCGCCAGTATTTTACTATTGGTATCAAGAAGATCGCCGTTGTCACTCGTACTACTCTTATTGCTAGTATTGCTGTTATTGCAAGTATTCCTCGTACTTACTACTCTTATCATAACTGCAGGGCCATGGGCAACCATGGAGGCGACCTCGCCTTGCTTGCAGTGGCCGCCTTGGCTCGGCTTACCCGGCTGGCGCGGGACCCCCGCTCGGCTCTCGTCCGTTGGGCGGCTTGGGCTGTCCGGAGCCGCCCAACGGAAGCTGGGAAGCTTCTTTCACCTGTGGCGAAGGGGCAGAGACTCCCTGCGAGGGACCTTTGGAAGCTGAGGACTCCAGACAGCTCAGACGCGGCGCAGTGTCGCGGCTGGCCGCAGAAGGCCGGCGCACGAGATGCAACCGCGAAGGCCAGCGCGGCCGTCCATTTCCATTGCACGCGCATTTCCGCTGCAAGTGCATCTGTGCCTGCTCTAGCAGTCTTCGCCCTACTCGCCTTCGAGCAATCTACATACATCTGGGTGTCAATTTTGCGACCAGAAGCTTCTCGTCACTTGCTCTGCCCCGTACTGTGTTCCATTCACTCAAAGGCTGATGAGGACGGCAAAACCAAGAACAAAGGCTGATGAGGACGGCAAAACCAAGAACGGCTTTGGGACAGCCGGATATATCTCTCTCTTTCTTTGTGCATCGCAGCAAGTCGGAGCACTGCGCTTGGACAGCCACTTGACAATTTAAGGGGCTCCCCCCTTTTTCGGCTCGCAGCTGTCATGTCTGTAGGCTCACGGCAGAAATAGCACTCGCTGGCTTTGTCTGGCAAGAACTCGGAAATTCCAGTCCAAACAAAGCCAAACCGGGCCAAACCTATCAACCAGTTTGACCGAAAGCTCTCAACATCAAAGCGAAGCAGAACGCCTGGGGCCTGGACCAGTGCCTGCGACCTAAAGTACGGAGCCATGGGGGAAAATGAGAATCTTTCAGCATCCAAGCGAAGCCTAGGTATGTCTCACTTTCGGCTCATGTCGTATTTCGGGCTGTTCTCTCCTTCAGGTATGGAAAACCAGCAAAACTCAGGGCAGTGGCGGTAGCATGTGGCACGGAAGATGCGCCTCTCGCGTTGCTTTATTCAGAAGGTTAACAACACCTGCAATCGTCTTTGCATCTACAATTAGCCACGCGACAAGGCGGGACGGCATTGCCACATTATCTATACACACATTTGCAAACGAATCTGTGGACCAAAGCACGTGATGCAAGTGGTCCACAGATTCCATTCTGGGAAAAAATACCGGTGAAATACCGCATTTCAAAAAACCACGCCCCTCTCATCTGCACGCTGGAATGGGTCTGAAAAAAACTGCGGCATTAGTAGTACCGGAGATCTGGTGCATATCGGCAGCGGCCACGATGTGACCAGCGATCACCGAGATCGCGCGGCCGCGCATCCAGGCCTCTGCCTCAGGTGCAAGTCGGCCAAAAAAAGAAAAAAAGAAAAAGCGAGAGAAGCCAGGAGCGAGAGAAGATCAGACGCAGGGCGAAGGAAAGAAGAAGAAGAAGAAAGGGCCAACAACAAAAGAGAGAGAGAGAGAGAGAGAGAGAGAGAGAGAGTGTGTCCTTGCTAAGCTGACGAGGGGCCTTTGCCTTTGCCGCCTTTGCCTTTGCCCTTCCCTTGGCCCTTGCTCGCGCTGCGCTCCATCATTTCCAGCGCCCGCTGCTGCACGAAGTGCCAGGAGGCCGCATGCTGGAGCGCGTGGACCGAGACGTCGGAGGCTTGGCCTTGCCGGCAGAAGGTGGAGACCACGCGGTTCCAGTTCGGTTGGGAAGTGTTGAAGACATCCTTATTCCCGACAATGGTCAGGGTCTTTTGCGCCCGGCTGATGGGCACGTTGAGGCGTCGCGGGTTGTGAGCGAAGCCGATGCTCCGAGCGGAGTTGCTCCGCACCGTGGAGAGGACGATGTGCGGAGCTTCGGAGCCCTGGGCAGCATCGACGGTGACCACCTGAAGACAGGGAGACACGAGCGCAGTCCCTCCGGCGCTGCGCAGGGAGTGCGAACATCTGCCCCGAAGGTTGGCCTTGATGAAGGCCATGCGACGGGGCTCAAGAGACTTCGCGAGGGCCTCCTGCAGTAGGGCCGCTTGCGGCTTGTAGAGAGTTATGACCATCACCGGGTCGAGCGAACGGCCCAGGACAGGATCAGATCTCAACCTTGGCCAAACTGCCACCGGGCTTCTGCAGAGTCTACGGAATCTTAGACGAGTCTACGAGTAAAGGCAAGAGCTGACAGTGCGTGGGGGCAGCAGCTCAATAACTTGGACCACCTCCGCGTGGTTCACCTTCGAGGTGCCCACGTCCAGTTCCTGGACGGTGACGTTGAACCAGCGCAGCTCGGGCTGCCTCTGCGAAGAAAAGATCATCACACAGAGAGAGAGGCACCCCCACCACAACAGACACTCTCTCCGGTGAAAGCACTGCTCTGTGCCAAGCAGAGTCGGGCCTGGGCTGCCCTTCGAGGCTGAGCCGACTCAGCCGGTCGGCGACGCTCCTCTCCGTCCGAAGTGAGCCACCTGAGCCGCGCCGCGTGGGGCCTCTCTCTACTGGCTCCCCTCGCGAATCGACTCGGGAACCAGCCATAAAAGAGGCTTGACACCAGATTGCAAAGGACTTCCGGCATGCGATATTGGACTCGAAGCGAGTGGGGACGGAGATTGTTGTCAATGGCCCGTTCCATTAAGCTGCGGTCGACGTTCCTCGGCGGAATGCAGGCAGAGCCCGCGGTTCAAGCGCGGCGCATCGCGGCGTCGCAGCGGCTGGGCGATCTGCCGAGGCTCTTGTCCTTGATCTCGCGGTCCCCGCCCGAGGCCAAGACCAATGGACTGAGCTGCTTGTGATCGCCCAGCAGCCTCAAAAGAGAGAAAGACAACAGCAAACAGCAAACCAAGGCCTTTCCACAGCTTCTGGTACCAAGTTCATCCACACTAATACAAAGACGAGGAGCACCAGGTTCTCAACTTGCAATCGCAATATCAAGGGAATGTAGGTCTCAGCAGTTGCAGCAGCCTCATCCAGTATGCCCATGAAAAGCCTCTTGGGGAAGTCGTCCTGAAACGAAGTCATGCAGATCGTGGCCGTCTTGATACTGGTATGGTGAGTATGATGGTGACAAGACTCAAGGCCTCGTAGTCTTCCTGCAGCTGCATGACCTACGGCACTGGCACAGGACAAAGCTACGCAGCTACAACACATCAACGTTAAGCAAGGCCTTGTAGCTCGAGGGTATGGTGCACAAGAGGACCCGCGTTCTGCGGACATTCCGCGCCGCTGCCGTGTTTTGAGCCAAGCTCAAAGCCTCTTTGGAGCGCTCATAGGCCTTCTGAATGCGAAGGTTGAAACTGTGGACGTTCCATTCGTAGAAGCGGGAAGGTGACGGAACAAGGGAGCGTCGTCGCCTTCGCAAGAATCTGACTGGCCTCAGCTGGGTGACCGCCGCTGCCAGCTTCTGCTTGATGTCGTCAAGGCGGCGCAGGTAGAAGTCTAAGGGGTCGTAGACCCTTGGGGCCTCTTGACGGTGTCGGCGCTGACGGTTCTCCACCTCGAGCTCCGCGTGATACCGAAGGACGGAAGGAAGCCGCTCAATTTGGGACAAGTGCAGCCGAGACCTGCGATGGGGCCTCCACAGTCGGTCCCTCCTTGCAGTCTGGAGTTCAGCCACAGCCTTCGAAGTTTTTGATAGAACTCCTGTGGCCCATTGCATGCTGAGGACGAGTTCATCCCTCTTGCACAAGTTCTCCAAGGTGTACTGCCCAGCTGTCCGTCCAACTCGATCTGGATTTCCAAGGACCAGGATGCGCAGGCCGCCAGCAGCATCGTGCGTTTGCGCCAACTTCTCAACGACGGCGTCAATCGCCTGGTTCGTGACACAAGTTACGATGGCCGCAGCATCCATCGAAGGCAAGCGCGAGCTGAGCATGTGGAAGATTGTCGTGCTCTTGCCTGTGCCTGGAGGGCCGTGGATGACTTCGAGACGTGATGACAAGCCATGAACAGCCGAGCGCTGGTCGCTGTTAATGGGCATCAAGTCTTCACAAAGTGCACCAGGCCGAGTATACGTGCCAGGAACCTGGCGCCAAGGTCTCAGAACTGCCTTCTCCAGCTGGGGGTCTGTCAACCCGATGCCGTTCAAGAGCTCACGGGCGCAGCGGTAACGATTCATGTAGTCTCCCGCAAAGATGTGCGCTCGCAGCTTCAAGATGAGGTCCGAGTGAAAAGGAAAGTCCGTCGGATAACGAAGCTCGCGCCCAGAAGCGGAGAAGCCTTCCAGTTCAGCTGTGTACTTCGTTCCTCCAGGAACCTGGGCAGAGCTCACCTCGCACTTCGTCACCCAGAAAAGCTCGTCATCGAACTCCACCACATTATCCTTCAGCTGAAGATCTGCTGCGCCAGATGCTTGCAGATCACCCTCTTGGCCGCTCATCAGTTTGGTCACCAGCAAGCCTGCCTGCGATGGCCTTGCATCCAGCAGCCGCGCACCCGCAGCCCGAAAGGCGGACACTGCTTCCGCCATGATGTTTCGCTTCATCGTCTCGTAGTAGGCATCAGCACGCTCGTAAGCATCCTCCACGGCAAGGAAAGCGGGCGGCTCCGCCCCGTCCCGGCTTTCCTGGAAGCGCCGCAGAAAGGTGTGGCGGCTGTCTTGCGGCTCAGGAAGGGCTCCCGGGGCCCCTCCGGTCGAGACCTGGCCAGGGATTCGCCGGGACCCCAAGACTCCGAACATCGCGGCGAGGCTGCAAAGGCTCGAGGCTTTTGGGAAATGGCTGCCGGGAGTTGGAAGACTCGAAAGCACCTCCCCGGGCTCTGTCTGCGATGCCGGAGCAGAGAGCGTGGAGAGCGGCTTTTAACTGCGCAGCGAACAAGGCGCCGTTCGGCGGGTGGTTTCGCCAATGCACACACCATCGGCATGGGTCTTCGCCTCCGGTGCGGCGCTAAAGGCGGATCCCCGAGAGTTGGCCTTGTCCCTCAGGGAATTGCAGGGGTGAGCAGAAACCCAGAGGCACGTAAGCCGAAAAAGGGGCCGCTGGATCGACGGTGGTTTCTCTCGTCGATGGATAAAACAATTCGAGGTGCCTCGCAAAAAAGTCCGTCTTTGGGGGGGGCACCCCTAAAGCCTATGTAACTACTGGGACAGGTTGCTTCGCAAGCTGTCCACTGCTGCTTTCACCATGGCAGTGTGGCTGCCATCCTGGGACTTACGTAGTGCAAGGCCCATGAGTCCTGAGAAGGGCATCTTGGCCATGAAGCGATCGAGCTTCCCCTGATGCTTCGGGCTGAGGCTGGTCTCGGTCTTCTCTAAAAGTCGCTGGAGTCTCTCCTCCAGCAATGTCAAGACCTTGGCCTCCTTGGCCTTCTCTAGGAAGCCCTTGTCAGCTGCACGGGTCCAGGCGTGCTTCACCGCAACCGAGAGCAGGTCGAACTCCGTCGCCTGCTGCAGGATGACTCGAAGTTCCTTGTTCGCGGTCACCAGAGGCGTCTCCACGTGAGAGAGGTGGCAGTAGTCGCAAGAGGAGCCGGCCGCGCAGAAGCCCTTCGCGAAGTTCACGCAGGGCCTGTGGCACACCTCAACGACGCAACAGCATAAGAAGTGGTGCGCGCAGAGAAAGAGCTAAAAGCTTCTATAGACCTCCCCTCCCTGCCTCCGGATGGCCAAGGGATCCCAAGGAGAACTCGGCGAGGAAGGTCTCGGGCTCGGATTGCGACTCCGAGGCGGAGGGCGACCGGAGGCTCCAGCTCTGGCTCCCGTGGCTGGCGGAGTCGGCGCGGGTAGAGGCATCGCCGCTGTTTTGGGCCTCAGACTCGGACTCTGCCGACTCCTTCAAATCCTCCTTCTCTTCCTCCTTCTTGTCTCCCTGCTTCCGCTTCCGGAGCCAGAAATGGAGCTGGTCTGCGCGGCTGGCCAGGGCGCTCACGTAGGTGCTTCGCTCGGTGCTTCGATCTTCGGGTGGTGCGCTCTGTGTTCGTCTCTGGCACGTGGACACGTCCTCATCCTCGGGGCTTTCAGCATGGATGAAGGTCCTCTGGCAAGTTAGCCTGAACTGCATGGCTGACGCTAAGGGATTTCTTGTCAGCGCTTATAGAGCATAGAGTACAACTGCGGCGTAGATCACAGGAATTCGGCAACACTGTGGCTGAAGACGGACCGGTGGACTCGTTACAAGCAACGGGCCAACATGGGCCAGCATTCCAAGCACTTCACACGATTTCGCTCGCAGATGGCTCGGTGGCCTTTGCGCGAGTTTCCGCATAACTCTGCGGTGCCCATGGGCCATCTGCTCACCAGAACTCGTCCTCGCGAGCCTCGAAACAGAGGAGAGCGAGCTGTAGCCGAGAGGAATGTGGCTGGGCTTTCAGAGGCTGAGTCGGCGACGGTGTAGCCAGCTCGACCACTGCTAGTGGCGACACCTTGCAAGCCGACCTCTATGCCGGCTCATTCTGTGGTGCTAATGTGCTCAACATGACTCAAAAGCTAATGGAGCCCCAGCGTCTTTGTGCTCCTACAAACTTCAGGGCTGAGCGTTACAGCTCTGGGTGCCTCGGAGCTCGTTCAAGAAGTCAGAGGCTCGAAGTAATGGGTGCCACTCAGCTGAATCCAACGATCTTGAGCACTCGATCATGTCCTAGAAAGGGCCTCGGCCACCGTGTGCTTTGCCGGTGACCCGCGCGTCCTGGCCCGATTCTAGGGATGGGCTGATGGAAGCAGCAAGCAATAACACAGGCAAGAGCCCCGAATGATCGGCTCAGCTTCGTGTGGCTCAGCATGCTGGGGCCACGGCAAACTGAGCAAGCTGAGATCAAATGTTTCCAAGCCAGAACCAGCCGAGTAAGCTGAACTTTTCCTAGTCCTAGCCACAGCTCGCTGAGTAAGCTGGGATTCTGCGCGCCACAGCAACCTGTGTAAGTGGAGAAAATTATCCAAGTCACATTTATCTTCATAGGTAACACAAGGGCTTGAAAGGCACACCAAGCTTGGAAAGCTGCGATTGGGGTGGCCACGACAACTGTTGGTTTTGTCAGCTCTCTCAGATTGACCTGGTTGCACGACATCTTGCGTATTCAGCTTGCTGAGGCTGAATTCGCAGCTTATTTACGGCCTATAGCATCTCAGCTTGCTCAACCTGCAAAATCTCAACTGGCTGAGCTTGTCGTGGCTCAAGATTGAAACAGTAGTAATCGTGGATATCAAGTCTTCACTTTTGGGATTATAATCGTCGTCTTCCTCCTCTTGCTCCCACTTGCCCCATTCATCAACAACACCATTTACACGATCTTTGGTATCATGATCGTGACCCTCATTCCACCCGTCGTCATCAGCGTCTGCAGCAGCAGCAGCAGCACAACAACAACCACCACCATAACCACAACCACAACCACAACCGCAACCAACAACCAACAAACATCAACAACCAACAACCGTAAGCACATCCACTGCAGCCACATCGCAACCGCAACCACAACAACAACCACCACGATGACGACCACCACCTCGGCAATGACAGCAAATTGCTTGTGCATCTTCATCGTCATCATAGTCATCATAGTCATCATCTTCTTCTTCATCATCATTGCCACCATAATCATCATCATCATCACCATCATCATCATCATCGCTGTCATCGGCTGCCATGGTCAACTCAGCGCCGATGGTGTCATGCTCGCATCGTCATCAAGACAAAACTCTTCGGCTCAGATCTGACAAGCACGGCCACACCTTCGAACTCCCGGAGCTGCGCGCACCTGTGACGGCTGAGAGCCTACTGTGACGCGCCCTTCCCACCCTCTGGCTCGTCCCGTCGTGCAAACGAACCCATGGAGAACAACAAAACGCATCGCAGGGCGCCGTTCCGACCATGTCAGGCCTTGTGCCCTAGCGCCTAGAGTCAGCTGAGCAGGCGCCTGGCGCCGCTTGCTGCTCCGCTTGCTGCTCGGAGCTCTTGGGTGCCAAAGGCCTCAGTTCAGGGCTTGAGCTGCAAAGCTCCAACCTTTGCTGCGCCTTGGCAAGCCTAGGTTTCCCCGGCCCTCATGCCGTACATTTCGTACAGCGCACATCAGCAAGCACACAGTCTACTAGTCTACTAGCCCCCGTTCTGCTGTGAGCTCCCCGCACCGGCCCGTGGCGCTTTTGGAAGTCCGCCAGCGCCTGAAATAGGCACAGCCACGGAGGAGCTGGCCACAGGCACGGGACCCGGGAGCCTCCGAGATGTGCTGGTCCACCAGACGAAGGTCGGAGAGGACTTGTCCTCATCCCAAACAGGGGACGAAGGAAAAAAGAGGGGGCTTTCTCTTGAGGACCGCGGCCCAAAGGGGCCGGGCGCCCTCTCCCCCTCTTTGGGTTTCCGAGTCCAGAGCCTTTCTTGGACACCTTGGCCACCTCGGCTCACACTTCGGCTCTCGAATCGAAGCCGTCCCCCCCGGAATTGCCCCGGTCCTCCAAAAAGAGATCCTCACATAGCTACCTAAAGACCCGTAATTTGGGACCCTATAGAAACCCTGTTTGCAGAGGGTGTACTTGGAGGGTCCCCATCCTCCCCCCCCGGTTCTCCCGCTCCGGGCCTGGGCGGCTTCGAGGCTCTTCCCCGACGCCGCGGCGGCCTCGAGAGCCTCCGCAGGCGAGGACGGCGACAGCGGCCAGACTCCGCGTGGATACAGATACTACGCCGAGCCGCCTCGATCTCACGGAGCTTCTTCTTGAGCCTTTTACGACCCAAGAATCATAGAGGAGGGTCACAACGGAGACCCTTCATGGCTGCGCGATGCGACGCTCGCGCCTGAACTCATCCCGAACCTCGGCGCACGCCCTGTGCTGAGCGCACGGCCCCCAAAGCCACGCGCATGCGGGAGACTCGGGCATGCGCGAAGTCACGGACAATAGGATCCAGCTTCGCCAGCTCGGAGACGACCTCCGGAGACACTCTTGCTGAGCATTGCTGCCGCCCCCAATGCTTTTTGGAGACGATGCCTTCGACCGCGCGGTTCCCGCATCGCTGGAAACGGAGCCGCCCGCGCTGGTACTGCACGGCTCGGAAGGCAGCGCCTCCAGGCCGAAGCCCCGGACTCGGCGGCTCGGCGGAGTCAAGTCTGCAGCCCCCTTCTTTTGGAAAGCCCGAAACCATTTAAGCTTCTTCTGAAAAACCAGGCATCAGCTTTTCAGGCTTCGAAACGAGGTTCGTTAACGTCACCGCTCCTCAGTTTTCTGGAGCCGTGTGCGAATTCTCTCGAAGGAGCTACAGAGCTGCAGCGAAATGCAGAAATGCTGCACAGCTCTCGCGCCAGCATGCGACAATCAGATCTTTGTGATCGCCCCCGCTGGGTGGTGCATTATCACATCTCAGCCAGTCAGCTGCTAGCCATTTTCCTGCTGAAGAGCCGGCAGATCCGAATACCAAAAAGAAGGAACCAGCGACTGACAGACTGAGTCATCCCGGGACTCCTCCAGCGCTGGTACGAATGCCCCGGCCCAGACCAGGAGATCGTAGCACTGGCGGCAGGGCAGGCAATCAGTATGAGGCTGCAGCTGGTTCAATGCCACCTGCTTCCGCCCGTGCATCGCAGCGACTGTGGAGGGCGTGTTGCAGTCCACCTCTACCAGATGCAGTCAAAATCGCCCGAAGGAGAAACAGGGATTGCGGACGGCCACTCCTGACTCACCACGGAGGGATTGCCACCGAAATCGAGTAGTGCCTGAACCTGGCACATGCAGCGTTGCAGAAGCAAGGAGTCCGAGCCCAGCTTGCCGTGCAATAGCCGGTGCAGCCACCGCGACGTTGCTCACAGCCGCCTTGGTTGGCACGATTTGTGCACTTGCCTTGGTTTCAAGGTGCCGGAAACTGCTCCAGCTCTGGCCCCAGCATGCATGATCGGCGTGTGGCCATTCACATCCTGCAGATCTCACCGATTCCGACACTCAGAGTAATCTAACTGCACGCTGACGCCTGTCAAAGCCGGAGAAAGAGAAGCAAAGAACACTGGGAACTACCCTTCTCTTCCGGCTGTCGATGAGGCCCACAAAAAGTGCGGAGTTCGGAGATGCCTTCATGCGTCCCTTTGAGTGTGAGACCCTGCCCATCAGTATCCAAACAAACGGAGCCAAGTGACAAAGCATGGCAATACGAACAGAGCACTGCTAGGGCGAGCTTGGCCTCACGAAAATGCGGACAGCCATCGTCTGGCTCAGCTCAAGACCCATTCAAGACTACAGACTATGGATACAAGGGGGATCAAGTCTAGGCCCAGGAAGGAGCAGAGCAAATCCTGCACCTTGCTCTATGGCCAGGAACCCAAAGAGGACTCAGTGAGCCATGATGGGAGTTGGATGCAGCTGCATGCCCAGGCCCCCGAACAACATCCTTTCCAAGAGCTGCGCCGCAGTGCGACTTTCCCAAGCTTTCGTCCCTCACCGTCCTCTGCAGCAGTGTTGGCACCGGAGACGAGGAGCATACGGACCACCTGCAGAAGGCTTTCAACTCTTGAGCCTGCGATGCCTGGGCGCACGCTTGAGTGCCTGTTCGTGACCGGCCGCTGCAGCCAACATCAGCGGCGTCTCCTTCCTGAAAAAGGAGCACCAGGTGCAGCAGTGGAGCTGAGACGCAGAGAGTGCTCGGCCGAAGATTGGCGAAGTTCACGTTTGCTTGGTACTGCAAGAGCTTCCGGACCATCGCCTCGGAAAAGGTTCTCGAGGCCTTTGCGGTGGCCATCTTCCCGCTCCCTTCGCCTCACTTCCAACTCTTGAAGCTTCTGCCAGCGCCGAGTTGCCTGCAAGGCAAGGTCTCTTTTGCCCAGCGCTCGGTTTCTGATCTGTGCTGAGCCTGTGGATTTGTTGGCCGCATTGACGGGAGCACCCGCTCGCAACATGGTCTCCAGGCACGCCTCCAATGATATCAGTGCCTAGTCAGAGGAGCCTCTTTGTTGCGGCAGATTTGATTTGACTCTTTTGCTCCACGCTTCCATCTGACAAAACATGGCAACCAAAATCTCGCACGTAACCCATCACTAACACGTACAAACACACAGTTGTCCACCCACCAGTCCCTGCTCCAAAACACGAACACCTTCGCTCACAACTCCGCAAACTTTCTGCAGACGAGGTTTTTTTTGCATCTGGTGCGAGCATTGGAAGGCATCATCCCATCGTTGTTAGCACGTGTTTCTCCGTTTGATTGAGGCTGGTCAGTGGGCCAAGTCTGGCCTCGTGGCCACTCTTGACGCAAGCGCTCAGCGCCGAGTCACCTCCAGGACTCCAGCCGGTTGTTTTTTTCCGTCTGCTAGGTACTAGCTCAGGAATCCGCACAGCAGAAGGCATGCACCAGAAGGGGTTTCGGGTTTAGGGTTTAGGATTCGCCCCACACAGTGCGACTTGCCCCCCGCACCGCTCTTGTTCGACAAGGAGACAGACCTCAGAAAGCCAAGGCACAGCGTCCCTCTTCTGTGGGACAGCTGGGAGGTTAGGGAGAGGAAACGGATTGCTACTTCACGGCGACTTCCACTTAGGGCCGAACGCTCCGGCACAAAGCAACACCTGGACAAGCATGCTGCCAAATCAGCCCAAAGCCAGAAAACTCCAGGGCCAAGTCTGCTGAGCCCCACGCTTTGAGCACATCGCCATGACCCTGATAGGAAGCAAGGACGAGAGGCAGCAGGAGAAGCACACTCAACCGACGCCTCCTCTGCGGCCAGCATAAGGGCTGTACACTCCTGTTCACTGCAACGCAAAGCCCAACCACCACATGGTCTCGTTAGCTTAGCCGCAAGCCCAACCAAGCCTGCCAATCTCCGATGTCCACGGAGGCTCCTGCCTGCACAAAAGACTATCGCCGCAGCCGCATGCCAGCAAAAAGGAGACTCAAAAGGGGCACTGCGCCAGCAGGCCGGGCAGAGGCATCAGCTGCCTGCACCAGCAGCTTGGCGACGTCCGAGTGGCCGCGCCGAGCCGCGCCGTGGAGCGCGGTCCTCAACTCGGACACGGAGCTCGGCTCAGTTCAAAAAAGCCTCTGCTCACTACGTCCACTGCGAAGCTGCGGGGTACCAAAGAAAAAGGGCTTGCCGCCGCCTGCCGTCCAGCTCGCAATGGCCCGTGGCGGCCGCCCCACAGTTCACCAGCATCCGGGCCACCTCGCAAAGAGTGAAAGCTGATGCGAAGATGCGAGCATTCGCGCCTCTCCCGGCCTCCAATTGCCCGGAAGACGCAGCGATCATCAAAGGTGTCAGGCCGCTCTTCCCGTTGTTCGGGTTGGCACTGGCCTCAGCCCCCCGGGCATCCCCGAGCCGCCCGGGCGAGTCGGATCCCTGTGTCCCTGGCCTGAAGCAGCAGCGCGATGACCTCTCACGCAAACGGTCCGTCAGCAAACGGATGCTTTCACATGCGATACCAGGCGGGCCGAAAGGCGGTATGTAGGCTGTGGGTGCCGGCGCACCTCCATGTAGCCGCCGCCCACTGCGAGCATCAGGGCCTCTGCAGGGCTCCGCTCCAATCCCGCCTCGTTTGGAAGCCTTCAGTCCGCGGAGCATTGAACCCACCGAAGTTGATGCAGTTGGGATCGCCGTGGGCGTTCAGCGCCTGAGAGCACGGAGGTGACCGGTTTTGAACCAGCGCGGCNNCCCCCCCCCCCCCCCCCCGCTCTTTCCCGCAGGGCGCGCCTCAGTGACCTTCTTGGCATCCCCGCGCTGCGCCCCCTCGAAGACCGCCTGGAAATTTTACTCAAGTGCACGACCCGGCCAAGGTCCGACAAAGCCGTGTTTATCTTGTCGCCTGGGATGCAGCAGACATCATCATCTTGTCGTGCCAGTGCCTCAGCTCCGCATCAAACCAAAGCATCGCCGGACGACAGGCAGCGGCTCTTGCTGGCCTCACGGTCAAGTGGGCCTTGGCCTTCCGCGCCGCCAAAGCCTTGGAACCTCGGAG